GCGTCGCTCGCGACCCCCCTGGAAAGCGACGACCCCTGTCCGCGCGCAGCGTCAAAAAATGGCGCCTTCTGCCCGCCATGCCCGACTGTGCATCTCGCGCCCCATCGGCTCGCACAGCCCGAACCTCGCCAACTCCTTCGCGACCTCCCACCTGTCCTCGCCGGTCCCCGCAGTGACGCGAGCCTTCGGGGCAGTCGCAGGCCACTGATCCACCGGCATCAGAGCTTCGCGCGGGTCGCTGAGGAAGTCCTGATCCACGACCCAGCGACATCAAGCGCCTGGAGCTTGCCGACGCGCTCGGGCTTGGGGGGCCATGGGAGTAGCCCCCCGAGCCTCAGCGGCAAGGCCTGGCTGCCCCCGTCGCTATTGCAATAGAAATGCGGGTCGAGCACCTCGGCCCCCCAGTCCAGGAACGGGCGGAACCTGACCTCCTCGCAGATAAACCCGCGCACCGCCTCGCGGATGGACGCCATGCTGGCCGCCTGCATCCGCGACTCCACGACCGCGTGCCCCCGCCGCCCTTCGATCAAGTGCCCGAGGCAATGGAAGCTGATCCCCGCGCCGACTCGGCGCGTCCAGAGGTCTTTGGTCAAGTTGCGCACCTCCTCGATCTCGCCCTCAGTGCATCTCGTCTTTCCGTCGAGCGCGCCAGCGTCACTCCACGGCCCTTTTTCCGAGCCGCTCGCCGACGCCAGTCTCGAGCTCGCAGGGGCATCGACCCAGCCACAGGGAGCGCATCCCCGCCAGCAGCCCCCCGCCCGGCGGCAAGGAGCGCCCGTCGAAAGCCCGCCCCCCCCCCAAAAAAAAAAACACGCACGCACAATCCTCGCGCGCGATCGAGCGACGCCGTCGCAGATCAAGAACCCACGCTCGAGCGGGCACCTGCTGGAGATACCCCGGTGGAGCACGCCAATGGCCCGCCAATCTCGCCGGGCGCCGACCTCCGCGAAGGGGGTCAGCGCAGATGGACCTCGCGGCGAGCCCGGCCGCTCCTGTTTGGCCCAATCATCTTGCCCTGCGGCCACTTGCGCGACGCCCGGCGCACGCGCTGGGCCCCCGCCTCGCACCGCCGACCCGACTCGCTCCGCTTTCGGATTCTCGGCCTCCGTCGCGGCCCCCGACGCGAGAAGAGCTCCGCCCGCGGAACTGTCGCGAGGCGAACGGCCCCGCGCCAGGGCCATCTCTCGGGCGACGGAAGGCAACCGCCGTCACCTGTGCAAGCGCTTCTTTCTCGCGCAGGCGTTCGGGGCAGCTGGCGCGGCCGGGCGGGCGGACAGCCGCGGGCGCGCGCATGCGCATACGACGGGCCCCGAGCACACTGGGCCGGATGTTCCACGCGCGGGCGCCCTTGCGCAGGGGCCCACCCGCCGCGCCCCGCGCCGCCCGCCGCACGGGGAATGGCCCCGCCCGAACCTCAGACGTCGACGGAGCGAACTCGCCCATCGATGACCCCCAAACAACCGAATATGGGACAACTCGGATGACTACTGATCGCGGAGATCGGCGCCCACTTGAAATTCGTCGGATCTGTCGCCAAAACAAATGACTACCGATGGGGGGGTTCGAACAAGGAAGGCTCGCGCGACGCAGCTTTTCGGGGGCGGCCAAGAGGGGGGCGTCCAAGAGGGGGGGGGGTGCAAATCATGACCGGCGGCATGTGCGCGGCCCAGCGGGGGGGCCAGGGACGTAATACAATAAGAAGAGGTGCCACGAAATCTGAAGAGATATCATGGCCCACGCCATGATATCCCCCCCCCCCCCCTAGTCATCACCCCCCTCTTTTCCGCCCCCGAGCTTTGCCCAGGGGTGTCAAGCCGGGGCCGGCCGGGGCCCGCGACGGGGAGGGGCTCTCGGAAATGCATCCCTCTGGCCGCCACCGCCAGCGGCGCCAGGGCAGCCGCGTTTCTGGGGCGCGCGGATCGGATAACCATGGCGGCCGCGATCCTGTTGCAGGGCAACTATGAAATTCGGCTCGGCGGCCGGATCATCTCGCCTGAATCTCGCCCCCTGGCCGCGTGCCCAGCAGGGCCACGGTGATGGCCGCTAGGAAAGCGCGCGTTGCCACCGGCACTCCCCTGGCCAACTTCCTAGCGCACGCCTCTGGCGCGCCCCCCGAGAGCGAGCATATTCTGCTGGGCCGCCCCAATGCCCAGCGCCCTCTACTCGTCGCCCTCGGCGAGGCTGAACCCTTTGGCCTCGGGTGGGATCAACTGCAACCAACGAGACGCCCTCGGGTGACCGACCTTCAGCGCTTTCTGATTCGCTCGGAAGCGGCTCATGCAATAGTCCAGAGCGCGCGCGCGGGCTTTCCGCGAAGTAGTAAGCCCATGGCCTCCGCGAGGGCCCTCATCCCCCTGCACTTGTCAACCCCAACCTCCTTAAGCGGGCGCTCAGATTTGAAGACGCGGAAGAGGAATCGCACGCACGCTGGAGGGAAGCTCTTGTCATTGGCCTCCAGCTCCCCCCATCCATCAGCGCCGGCATGTTCTTAACCTCGCGCTACGTGATCTTACCAGGATGTGTCCTGGCCAGTTTCGTCAACGCGAACCTCTCCCGGACGAGTCGCAGTCCGATCCTTATCCTTTTTGGGCTCGTCGTCATAGTCGCCCTGATCGCCCTTCCTGCTCTTTTTGCCACCAGCTCTATCCGATATGATGCCCTCGAGTCGGGATTTCTGCGGGCACGGCCCTGAGCTGCCGTTGGCCTTTTCGTTTCAACGTTCCTCTTCAGCGCATCCAGCTTCGCGCTGAGGTGTTCCTTCTCTTACCGGCCTTCGCTTCGAGCGCGCCATTGGCAAGCGCCTGATGTTCTTTCTTCAGCTCCCCCATCACCGCATCGTGGTTATCGTCCTCATTGTTATCGTCCCCCTCCGCCGCCTCGGCCTCAGCTGATACAGTTTTGGCCTTGGGTTTTGCCTGAGTTGAGGCGTTCGGCGTAGACAGCCCATGCTCTTCATCAGCAGCCTGATCCAACTCTTCAGCGTACTGAATCATCTGCTTCAGCTTCCCAGGAAAGCTGGGAAGCACCTCGGTCTCCGCCGTTCTTGCCAGCATGCACACAGTCGGTGCCTGCAGAGTTTCCGCCCCAACTATCCTCATCTCTCTGGGCAGGGCCGAAGTGAAAGGAGAGCGACCTCTTTGCGGTTGTCCAGAACCACCAAGGCTCGGAGAAGCTCACGCAATCGATCTTGCTGAGCCTGCCCTTCGCGGCCATGCCGATGGCCTCGCCTTGTTTCACCGTGTTATCTTCGAAGACCGGGTGCCGAACCAGCACGCTTGCGAAAAGGGGTTCCATCGCAGAGGCGGCCAAAAAGAATGTAGTGTGTGGGAGCAGGTCTCTTCGGCTTCGCAGGAGGCCTAGGCCCCAAGCATGACCAAACGCCCCCCCACCCCCACCCCACCCGGACGCCCCGCGCCGCCGCGGACCCGCGGACAGACAGCGCCGCAACGCGGCAAGCCGCCCGGCGCCAGAGACAGGGTGGCAGGTCCCCAGCGGCCAGCCCGCTTGGACCCAGGACCAGATAGAACGGGGGCGAGACACGAGAGGCGGCCCCCCCGAGGCCCCGGGCCCACGACTCTCACTGGGACCTATACTCCTTCTACTCGGCAGGAGAAGGGAGGGGCCAAAGCAACCTCTCGTGCTTTCCTTCTCTTTGTCTCTCTCTCTCTCTCTCTCTCTCCCTCTCCTGCAAAGCCGCTTGAGACAGACGAGCGGCGGAGCAAACGTGCACCCACTTGCGTTCAGATATTCGCCCCGTTTACGTTGCACCGTATTTATATATAAACATATATATATATATACATACATACATACATACATACATACATGCATGCATGCATGCATGCATGCATGCATACATACATACATACATACATACATACATACATACATACATACGTACGTACGTACGTACGTACGTACGTACATACATACAGACAGACAGACAGACAGACAGACAGACAGACAGACAGACAGACAGACAGACAGACAGACAGACATACATACATACATACATACATATATAATCATACGCACCTCTCCAAGGGAATAGAGCTCAGAGGCGATTAGTGCGTACGCGGGGCGCCGCGTCCGCGATGTTTCTGACCGTCTCGCTAGGGACATCCTCGAAATTCTGAAAATCGGTGGCACCCCTCACACAGATCCTGACGTCACGGTCCAAAAACAAATGGGAATTTCAACAGTTTAACATAAAACCTTCAAAAACATATGGTAAGTTCAATAATGTTGACCCCGATTCTCAGAGAATGGCGGTTTCGCCTGAAACATCCTCCCAAAATCGAGCCCCAACGTACCCTCTGGTACCCCAGACCCCGCCTCGGAGCCTCCTGGGGGTCTCCTGGAACCTCCTGGGGCCTCCTGCGGATTTCTGAACCTTCTGGTACCCCAGACCCCGCCTCGGAGCCTCCTGGGGGTCTCCTGAAACCTCCTGGGGCCTCCTGGGGCCTCCTGCGGCCTTCGGGAGCCTCTTGGGGCCCCCTGAAGCCTCCTGGGGTCTCCTGGGGCCTCCTGAGGCCGCCTGGGGCCTCCTGGGGCCTCAGCACTACATGCACACACAGAGACACAACTCACGCCCAACACATCACACGCTAGACAAACATAACACACACACACACACACACACACACAACACCTACAACGCACAAAAAGCACGCACAACACAGAACACACATCACATACACACACACACACACACACACACACACACACACACACACAACACTCACATTCCTGGGGCCTCCTGGAGCCTCTTCTGGTATCCAAGTCGGGCCTCCTGAGGCTTCCTGGGGGGCCCTGGTACACACATCGCAAGGTGTGGCAACCCCACTTGCGCTCGAGTGCGACTTCGCTATTGCATTTCACTCCTGCTTCAAACGCCCCTTCAGTTTTTTGTGTATGAGCCTGGGCACACACGTGCCACTCGTATGTGTATATATATATATATATACATATATCTATATATAGATGCGTGTCTGCTGCATTTGACGGTATCCCACCTCTTGTCTCGGAACTTCGACAACGAGTTCCTGCAAGGGTCCTGGCCGAGGGCGAATGCTGCGCTCTCATGGGAGCGCAAGCCGCCGCGCCAGTGCGAGCGCACGAGCGCTCCGTGCAAAGAACTGACGAGGCATGATCGGGGAGCGACAAGGCGGGTACAAATAGTCCGGGGAGGACTAGATAATCTGAGGTCGGGCATGTCGTCCTACAGGCGGATTTCGAAATATAATTTAAGATGGCCAAAATACGCGCAAACAAAAAAAACTGCCGATGTATACCATTACTCTTGAATGCCCCTCCTGTAAAGGGACGCGCCCGACTTGAAGACCATCAACTGCATGCGGCTGGCTTCCCTGGCGCTCCCCTGGGGAGCCGGGGGAGGGAGGCCGCGGCATCGAGGAAAGTGCCTGGCGGCGGAGCCGAGGCCAGCTGCACGCCGCTGTCGTCGCACCCCGGGCCCCGACCCCATCGGTCCCCCCCTCCTCCTCAATCCTCCTCATCAATACTCCTCCTCCTCCTCCTCCTCCCCCTCCTCCTCCTCGTCCTCCTCCTCCTCCTCCTACTCAATCCTCCTCTTCTTCCTATTAACGTTACGATTACCATTGGTATTATGAGTGTTATTAGTATTGCTCTTCTTCTTATGAGTATCAGAATTATTCTCCTTCGTCATCTTAATACTAGTATTATCCTTCTTCCTCCTCCTCCTCCTCCTCCAACTCCTCCTCCTCCTCTCCCTCCCCCTCCCCCTCCTCCTCCTCCTCCCCTCCTCCTCCTCCTCAATCCTCCTCCGCCTCCTCCTCCTCTTCCTCCCTCCTCCTCCTCCTCCTCCTCCTCCTCCATCCTCCTCCTCCTCCTCCTCCTCCTCCTCCTCCTCCTCCTCCTCTCCTCCTCCTCCTCCTCATCCTATCCTCCCCCTCCCCATCCTCCTCTTCAATCCTCCTCCTCCTCCTGAATCCTCCTCCTCCTCCTCTCCTCCTCCTCCTCCTCCTCCTCCTCCTCCTCCGCCTCCTCCTCCTCCTCCTCCTCCTCCTCCTCCTCCTCCCCTCCTCCCCCTCCTCTCCCCCCCCGCCTCCTCCTCCTCCTCAATCCTCCTCCTCCTCCTCAATCCTCCTCCTCCTTCTCCTCCCCTCCTCTCCTCCTCATCCTCCTCCTCCTCCTCCTCCGCCTCCTCTCCTCCTCCTCCTCCTCCTCCTCCTCCTCCTCCCTCCTCCTCCTCCTCCTCCCCCTCCTCCCCCTCCCCCTCCCCCGCTCCTCCTCCTCCTCCTCCTCCTCCTCCTCCTCCTCCTCCTCCTCCTCTTCTTCGTCTTCTTCGTAGTATTATTAGTGTTAGTAGTATTATTCTTACTATTACTGTTCTTAAGATTATTACGACTATTATTCTTAACATCCTGCGCAGTTTCATATAAATGTTATTAGTATGCCTCCTTGCATTCTTGATATTTATTAGCATGATTAGTATTATCCGTGTCTTTCGTATGTATAATATAGTTATTCTGCTTAGTAGTATTAGTATCAGCCGTAACACTCCTATTCTAATATTATTATTGGTATGTTTAAAGGTTGCTACCCGTGTTCTTCTTATGATGTATATGAACATGAGTATTCGTCTTAGTGTTGTTATTAGTCTTATTATGGCGCATATTAATATTCTTATTAGTACCAGTACTAATAATATTATATTCCTCCTCCTCCTCGTCTATACTCCTCCTCCTCCTCGCCTTCCTTCTCCTCCTCATCATCCTCCTCCTACTGCTCCTCCTCCTCCTCCTCCTCCTCCTCCCCCTCCCCTCCTCCTCCTCCTCCTCCTCCTCCTCGTCCTCCTCCCCTCCTCCTCCTCCTCTCTCTCCTCCTCCTCCTCAATATTCCTCCTCCTCCTCCTCCTCCTCCTCCTCCTCCTCCTCCTACTCCTCTTTTCCTTATAAATAAATGTTCCCTGTCGCACCCCGAATCCAGTTCTTAGGGCGGGCTGGGCGTTTCGCCTGAGACTTCCCCACCATCTATGACTCTGAAGCTTGAAAAATGGCAACAGCTTCACAGATAGGGGGAGGGGCGTTTTCAAAATGTGGCTTTCGCCTGCGCCCCACGCACATTCGTTTTCAGCATTTGCAAGAGTTTCACGAATTGAGGGCGGGTCGTTTTCAAAATGTGGCTCTCGCCCTAGCGCCACGCACATTCGTTTTAAACATTTGCAAGAGCTTCACGGATTGAGGGCTGGTCGTTTTCAGAATGTGTCTCTCGCCCTAGCGCCGCGCACATTCGTTTTCAAAGTTTGCAAAAGTTTCATGGATTGAGGGCGGGTCGTTTTCAAAATGTGGCTCTCGGCTTAGCACATTCGATCTAAAATTTGCAAGATCTTCAAGGATTGAGGGCAGGTCGTTTTCAAAATGTGGCTCTTGCCTGAGCGTCGCGCACATTCGTTTTAAAAATGTTGCAAGAGCTTCACGGATTGAGGGCGGCTCCTGTTCAAAATGTGGCTCTCGCCTCAGCGCCGCGCACATTCTTGCTTAAAAATTATGAGGGTTTCACGGGTTCCCATGGTAGACGTACCAGAAATGGTGTTGTGCACGGATTCACGATTAAGAGGGCGCCGCAGTTATGATGATTCGCGGTGTTGAAGTCCCAGGGTTGGCGTTCTGGCACGATTCTGGTTCGTCAATATGCACCAGTCAAGTTTATCCGTGGCGCTGGAATACCGAAAATAATGTTTTAGCATGCTTCAGGGTCTTCAAACGGTTGTCTTCCAACGAGGCAGGTCCCTGTGGAAATGAACCGTTGTAGGGGCCTATGAAGAGGGAGCTTGGGGGGAGGATTTATTCTAACATCGTTGGTGACTCTTGGGTTTGAACTGTTCCTCCTCCTCCTCCTCCTCCTCCTCCTCATCCTCATCCTCATCCTCATCCTCCTTCTCCTCCTTCTCCTCCTCCCTCTCCCCCTCCTCCTCCTCCTCCTGGACCAGAAAACAAATGGCACATCACCTACGGCCCCACGGGGCTTCGCGTATACCAGCAAATCTTGCGTGGGCTTTCTGCATCGTGGATACGCTACGGCCCCCGAATCGGCGGTGGCGCAGCATGGAGGACCTTGGGTGGGGCGGTGACGTTTGTTTTGTGGTCGACCCACTGGTGCTGTGTCGCCTTGGGTGGTCGGGAAGGCACTGGGAGGCATGCGCTGGGGGGGGGTCACAAAGGTATGGAGGGGTGGCGCATCCCGCAGCGCACACCCCACGTGTGTGCGTCTGGTTCCTTGTCAGGATGCGTGTTCGCCTCCGGCGTTAGCACCCCTCACTGGAACTGGAAACGGAACTGGAGGTCTTCCGCCTTCCTAGGCTCTCTAGGGCCCATCGTCTCGGGTCGCGGTGGAGCGGCTATGTACATCGCATACAAATCCGAATTCGAGTATGCATCCCCCTCGCCGAGTTCGAGTGCACATCTCCCTCGGCGGATCCAAAACTCGCGCACGCGGCAAGGCCAGAGAGGCATTGCATGCAAGCGGCATGCGCGCATGGAAGGACGACAGGACTGCATATACAGTCAGGGGCAGCAAGGCCCTCGGAGCCTAATTTCGGAGCCCTGGCTGGCAGGCCACCGCGATGCGATGCACGCTGTAGAGAAAAATGCGGAGCGCTGTCTTCGCCGCAGGGCGGAGAAAGACACATGGCCGCGAGAACATCGCAGGCGAGCGTCCGGCGGGAAAAATGAGCGGATGAGAAATCCAATGGCGCGTCCGGCAGGAGAGCAAACACAGCGGGCTCGTGTCGTGACGCCTTGCGCGGCGGTTTCCGACACCGCGTGGATCGTTCCGCCATGAGCGCTCACGGCCATCCCGACCGCGCAGAGCCGCTCGATATCGGCCAGTGCTCCGGGCCGCCGCCGGCGTCTCACCTGGAACGCCCGCGTGGGCGCCGCTGCGCAGGCACTAGAGGAAAAAGAACGATGCACGTACACCGATTCTGGCCAGGCCCATCCTGAGCCCAGGATCGGTGCATGCGCCCTCCTACCTTGGCCAGGAAGGCATGTGCACCGATCCTGGGTCCAGGATGGGCCTTGCCAGGATCGGTGCATGTGCATAGCTCTCTTCGCCCGAGGCACGACGCAAGCCTGCGGCGGGAGGGGAGGGCGGAGAGGAGCGGTCCGTGAGAAGATCGGAGGCGAGCCCGGGGGGGGAAGCGAGAGAGAGAGGGCAGGCCTCCTCTAGAGGGCGGCGGGGCATCTCGGAAGCCGCCCGCCGCCCTCTGACAAGCCCAGCAGGCCTGTCCCGAGGCCACACAGGCGGCTTCTCAGAGGGCGGGATGAGCTTCTGAGAAGCCCTGCCGCCCTCTGAGAGGGCCCGCCCCTCTCGGTTCCTCCTTGGGCTCGCCGCCGAAAAGAAAGGAAGAGGGGTGTAGGGGGGCGCGAAAGCCTGCGCAGGGCTTTCCTGGGGAAACCCAAGCGGCACCGATACCGCTCCTCCCAGGACCTCTCCCGGAAGGCGCTCTGACAACGACGTCAAGGCGAATCCAGCCGTGGCGACGAGGGCCTCCCAGGAGGCCCCAAAAGGCGAAAACGAGGGAAGGGTAGCAGGATTTAGGGAAACGAACTCTATACACCGACGCTTTTTCCGACCCTGCGCTGAAGTTCGCACAGGAACGCGGATCCTGGTGTATACGGGGTCCTGGTGTATACAGTTGTCGTTGTCTCCCTTGGAAAGCGGTGAAAGAGTATACACCACACCACCCCAGCGTCGTCCCCGACCCTCAAAAAGTCTTGGGATTGAAAAAATAACCCGCCACTGGTAATGTGTATGTTGCAGGTGGACGCCGCTTGGGTACAAGGCGCGTCTCCTCTCGCCGCCAACTCGATGCTGGTGTACATGATGAGCCGTGGACGGCAACACCAACCACAGCATTTTGCTTCTGCCGGTACTTCGCCACCAGGTTCCTGTACAAGGCGTTCCTTTGCAAGCACGTCGTTTTCGGTACCGCCTGATCCCGAGGCTTTGCCTCCTCCTGGCCTCGCCGTGAGGCTGCGCTCCTTCCCTTAAAGAGGGGGGCTCGCACACATCACGGCCGGAGGCATGTGCGCGGCCCAGGGGGGCCGAGGGACGCACTGAGGCAGGAGGAGCGGCCACGTGAAGTCCAGGGCGACATCGTGACCCTGGCCATGGTGTCCACCCCACCCCAGTCATCTGAGGTGGGGAGAGGGGCCACATACAGGGCAGTTTTTAATACATAGAAGTTTCAAAATATTGAATTTTAATGCATGATAAATTTAGGAATAACTGTATGCATGAACTCATCGCTGCTTTTAACCCAAACCCATAACTTTAAATACATGATCCGCACGCGGAGCATGTATTAAAAACGGCACTGTGAAGTCAAGGGCGATATCATGGCCCTGGCCATGAGATCCACCCCAGCCCCAGTCACCACCACCCTGGTGGACGCCGCCGAGGTGTCTCCTCCGGGGGAGGGTCGGACCGGGCGAAAGGGGGGGGGGAGAATCAGCTCACGCAGCTGACCTTCCCGGCGCCGGAGGCGGCCCTGCATCGAATCAGTGGGCCCCTCGGTCGGGCCGAGACCAGCTGCATGCGGCAGCTTTCGCAGCCCCCCCCTCTCCCTCTCCCCCCCCCCCTGTTCGTCCGGCCCGAGAGGGGCGGGGGCGGGGGCGGCGCGAGAGCCTGTGCAGGGTGTTCCGAGCACGCCTCGCGCCCGCGCCGGGCGCCTCGGAGGCCGCCCCCCGCGGGGGCGGGCCCCACCGCCCCGGCCAGCGGGCCCCCGGCGGCCGAGGCCCGGCGAGCGCCGGGGGGAGAGCACGGCAGCTGGCTGCGGCCACGGGGGCTCGTGGCCAGCGCGTCGCGGCGGCGGCCCCGGCGGCGCGCTACGCCCTGCGAGCGGACAGCGAGTCGCTCCGCTCCGCGGGGCGGGAGGCTCGAAGAGGCTCGGGACGCCGAGCGCCGGGGGACGGGGAAGTGGCCAGCGCGTCGCGCCGAAGCGCGGTGGGCCAGAGCCAGCGGAGCGACACGCTAAGCCACAGGTCCCGACAGTGGAGGTGCCCCAAGCGATGCCCGAGTAGATGGGGTCGGCGGATACCGCCGCGTCGCCCTCCTCCTCCTCCTCCTCCTCCTCCTCCTCCTCCTCCTCCTCCTCCTGCCTCCTCCTCCTCCTCCTCCTCTCTCCTCCTCCTCCTTCATCATCTCATCATCATTCATCATCATAATCATCATCAACATCATCATCATCATCATCATCATCATATCAGCATCATCATCATCATCATCATAATATCATCATGACATCATCAGCTCCAGCATCAGCATCATCATCATCATCATCAGCATCATCATCATCATCATCATTCACATCATGCATAGCATTCATCATCATTCATCTCATCATAATCATCATCATCATCATCAATCATCATCATCATCATCATCATCCGCCTTCCGCCTCCTCCGCCTCCGGCCTCCTCCTCCTCCACCTCCTCTCACTCCTCCTCCTCCGCCTCCGCATCCGCCTCCACCTCCTCCTCCTCCTCCTCCTCCTCCTCCTCCTCCTCCTCCCCCTCCTCCTCATCCTCCTCCTACCAGTCTTCGCGACAGCCTCCCTACCCTGCCGCCGTGCTCCCCCGAGCCTAGGCTCGCCCTCGCGCGCCATGTCTGATGTATCGGCGAAGCCTCGGCGACGCCTGCATGGAGAAAAGTCGGGCTC